AAAAACCTTTCTTTCTTTCTTTCTATCTATCTATCTATCTATCTATCTATCTATCTATCTATCTATCTATCTATCTATCTATCTATCTATTTATCAATCTATATCTGCAATTATCTATCAATTTACTTATATAGCTTGATTTCTCCCTACTGGCCTAACTCCAAGAAAGGGCAGGGGAAAGATTGATGTCGGACTAAATAACATTTCCTCCATTAGAAGAACCTAGCTTCTTACATACAAGAGGTAAATTTGGATCCTTAGATCCCCCGCTGTAGAAAATAAAATAAATCTGGTTCATATATTCGTTTGTACAGTAACAAGGAGTAAACAATCTGTTTATCTAAGGTATTTTTGTCTTGTTAATACGTTTTCTTTGAACACACAAAGTGGGTCGATTCTTTGAAAATTGAACCAAAACACACGTTTAGTATATTTGCGCACTAATATATTAAGTTGGTTTTCAACCAAAAAATAATGCAGTGATAAGCAGAAAACTTTGGAAAAGTAGGATGTCGACTTTTAAACTCAAGTTATTTCTATGCACTTTTAAAGCTCGGGAAACCGTTTAATGCTTTACAATATTTTTGTCGAATGTACATGAAGCACAGCAATTGTGCAGTGTAAACAGACCCATTTCACTTAATAATTGCAATATAAAACTTACAAGCAACATCAACTGCACTTGAATATTGTTACAATGTCGTCTTCCTATTCTATAGTTTCAGGAAACCTCAACTTGATGAATTACAAAGGTGGGTATCCGGGTGCTGGGTGCTGGGTGGCCATGAAATATTAAACACTTTTAGTTTTTCTTGAACTCACTTTAAATCAATAAAACCCTTGATTAAAATTTTACTTTTCAGAGAGAAAAATAAAGATATTTCCATTATGCTTATTGAGAACGAGCACCAAAGTAAAAATATCTAAATAACGATATGTTTCTCACACATGTATCCCTTGAAATGAAGGGAAACTTGAAACTATTTTAACAGTGGTGGGGTGATATCTAAAAAAAAGTGTGTTGAAAACTGATCAGAATTGGATGAAAGTGTGTTGACAACTGATCAGAATTGGATAAAAGTGTGTTGACAACTGACCAGAATTGGATAAAAGTGTGTTGACAACTGACCAGAATTGAATGAAAGTTTGTTGACAACTGATCAAAATTGAATAAAAGTGTGTTGACAACTGACCAGAATCGGATAAAAGTGTGTTTACAACTGACCAGAATTGGATAAAAGTGTGTGTTGACAACTGACCAGAATCGAATAAAAGTGTGTTGGCAACGGACCAGAATTGAATAAAAGTGTGTTGACAACTGACCAGAATTGGGTAAAAGTGTGTTTACAACTGACCAGAATTGGATAAAAGTTTGTTGACAACTGACCAGAATTGAATAAAAGTGTGTTGACAACTGACCAGAATCGAGTAAAAGTGTGTTGACAACGGACCAGAATTGAATAAAAGTATGTTGACAACTGACCAGAATTGGATAAAAGTGTGTTGACAACTGACCAGAATTGGATAAAAGTGTGTTGACAACTGACCAGAATTGGATAAAAGTGTGTTGACAACTGACCAGAATTGGATAANGGGGGGGGGGGGAGGGGGTTCAATTCCCCCTTGTGGTTTTTCTATTACCTTTTCAAGTTCATGGATGGGTACAAATTTTGCTAACTTTTTGAACACTTTAAAAAATCTTACTTGCAACCTTTCCATTAAAGTCAGAGGTCCAAATTTTTTAAAGTGAGCTGCTTTAAAAAGTTGGACTTAGAAATAGAATATATATTTTAACTCTAACCTTTGAAGGGAGTTTAGAACGCAGCAAAATAATTTCGAGTCTTTTAAAAAAACCTCTGATTTTATAATCACTATATCTTTGTAACCAAATGTTGTAGACCTTAGATATTTCAAACTATGACCTATGGTAGTTTGAAATATTAAAGGTTCACACTATCAGGTTGCAAAGATATCGGGATTAGAAAATTTGTGTTTTTGTCAAAGACTCAAATCCTTTATATTGAAAATGAAAATTATTTTCAACCAATATTTATTGAAAGAATAATGTTTTTTTTTATGCTAAGCCGCGAAGACAGAAAAATAGAAGACCTAAAAACTTTTTACTCGAAAGGGTTTCTTTCACAAAACTGTTGTCAAACCACTTTATGAAAACTTCTCTAGGAGACACTTTTTATTCGCAATGTGTTCTCGTGGTAATCAGTGTGTTCTCGTTCTACTCAGTGTGTTCTCGTGTTACCTAGTGTGTTCTCGTGGTAATTAGTGTGTTCTCGTTCTACTCAGTGTGTTCTCGTTCTACTCAGTGTGTTCTCGTTCTACTCAGTGTGTTCTCGTTGTTCTTGTTCTATATCTCTGTGTGTTCTTGTTCTATAACTCAGTGTGTTCTTGTTCTATAACTCTGTGTGTTCTTGTTCTATAACTCAGCGTGTTCTTGTTCTATAACTCAGTGTGTTCTTGTTCTATAACTCAGTGTGTTCTTGTTCTATAACTCAGTGTGTTCTTGTTCTATAACTCAGTGTGTTCTTGTTCTATAACTCAGTGTGTTCTTGTTTTTAACTCAGTGTGTTCATAATTCTAAAGGTACAATTAACAATAGACATAAAGTCAACTTAAACTCCATTTAAAAGTTGTACACACAACCGATTCTTTACGATACCCCTTATGATTTTGTCTAAACAAAACTGACTGTCATAACCTTGTTTTTCTTAAATATCTATAAATTTTAAATGTTAGACAAAAGTTTAATTAGAGTATCGATCGAATTGGATCTGAGACAAGTCGATTTAACAGTTAGGTCCTTGGTCCAGCAAGCTGTAACTTTCGACCACAATTTGGCCAATTAGTTCTCAGTGCTTCTCCTTTTCTGTTTTATACTTGTGTTTAAATGAAAAAGTACAAATTGACACTCTGTAAAGTTTAAAGATTGTTGAGTGATAGATCAAAACATAATTTAAAATCAACTTTAAAAAACCAAACGGATCTAGGCCTGGTTAGACCAGAGGGGTAAACTTTTTTCTATTTTAGAATCTAAGGATGAAACTTTAGATTTGACTTGAATATTGATGTTTTTTTTGTTTTTTTTGTTGGTTTTCAGAAAGTCATCAGTTTGTGGTTTAAATCTAGATATATACAATTTCCTTCCAAAATATGTATTTGGAATACTAGTCTAAATTCAAGCATAGAAAACGTGATTGAATTAAAAGTGTGTGTGTGTGTGGGGGGGGGGGGGGGGATAGTTCTCCAGAATATGTGTTATTTTAAATTGTTTAAAAACCTTGGTAACCTATCTATAGCAACTCATATATCATTGGAAATTTTATCTAAAATTCTTTAATTTTATACTGAGTAAAAATCTTTTCTTTTTAGTTTTTCATCGTTAGTTTAATTCAAAAGATCAATATTTTTTCTTTTTAAAACAAAACAGAGATTTAAAACCCGGATATTTTGAAGAATTGAACGGGTCGTGCATTGTCAAATCTTTGAAATAAAATTATGCTTGTTTCTTGTTGAATACTGTGTTGCAGGAAGTTTTAAAACCATTTTGGTTTTTGGAGAAGTTGTCATTATTTGCCAAATTTGTTGTAATATTTCTAAGAAGCATTTTTTATATTTTGTCGATAAATTTCAATAAAAAAATCAAGTTTTTGCTCGAAACAAAATCTTTTCATCTACAAAAATATTTTGATGATAGCTTCTGCGAAAACAGTTGAACAAAATAAGCTAAAGGAAAAGTACTAAAAGATATAAATTTTATAAAATAGGATTCGAAATGCCAAGAATCAAAATTGTCAACTTTACTTTGTCACCTGGTTAAAGTTTTGTACGCTCTAGAGTGTTATTTAACCCTATCCCTTCCCCCAGCAGGAATAGGGTTAACACCTTTTGGGAATATTAGCTTTCCGCATTTAAAACCAAAGGAAACTGAGTTTTTGCCAGAAAATTTAATTTTCGAATTCCTATATCTTTGCAACCTGATATAAATATAAACCTTCAAAATTTCAAACTTAGACTACTTTCTAGCACATAGTTTGAAGTATCAAAGATCTACATCATCGGGTTGCAAAGATACCAGGATTAGAAAATCATAGTTTGAGCAAAAACTCAGTTTCTCAATAAATCAAAAGCTTCTGACGCATATTTAGATATCAATATCGACATGTTCTGCATATTTTCTTCAAGTGATTTTTAATATTTGCTGTTTCTGTGAGCGTGAAATGCGGTTATATATATATATATATAACCTCTAATTGATCACCTTTAATGTAGAATATTAATGATGAAAATGTTTTTTTATAAAAATCTTTTCTATAAGTTCAGAAGGTTTTAAAAACTTTTAAAAACAGTTTTTGTCTTTTTTCATATTTTAAATTTCTAAGAATACAAATTTAATTGAAAATTTGTTTGATTTTTATATTCTTTTACAAGTTTTTATTAACAAAAGGTTTTTAACCCCCCCCCCCATTCACCGGCCCTCCTCCTTACCCTTCCCTCCTTATTTATAAAAAATTAAAATGTTAAAATATTTCCTAAATATTTCTTCAAATATTTACTGAAAACTTGAAAGTTTAGAAAATATCAAGATTATCCCGCATATTTTATTTAAAATTTGAATAATTCAATTCGTAAGAAAATCTTTTTTTATATATTATATATTTTATATTTACATTCAGACAAATCAAAACTTTTAGAACAACTCTATGAGCCAAGTTTTAAAAGAAATGTATTATATGTATATCTTTGTAGTAAATATGCAGTATTTAGTAATATTGAAAGTAATGTATTATATGTATATCTTTGTAGTAAATATGCAGTATTTAGTAATATTGAAAGTAATGTATTATAAGTATATCTTTGTAGTAAATATGCAGTATTTAGTAATATTGAAAGACAATACACAACTTTTTATCTCATCTAATTTTCATGCAACCGTAAAATAGAAGTTAACTTAAAAATAATAAATAAGTTCATAAAAAAAATCGTACTTATGTGCTTTGAGACTTTTTCAGGTTTTCTCAATTTTCTGAAAAACTTGAACATAACTGTTCAATCTGTTTCCACTGTTCTATTCTCCTACTGAACAGTACACTACCATCCTATTCCAATATTGAAGAGGAACGAAGAAGAGTCAGAAAATTCACGGATTTATCTCTTCACAATGTTGCGGATTTTATGAAAATTGTGCATTTCTGAAAACTACATTGCAGCCAGGCAGTTCTAACTTTATCACGATTTAGGATGGGTTTCTCTCCGTACTATGATTCAACTAGGAGGAGGATGTGTGGTTGGTTTGAGAGGTTCGTATCAACTGACGGAGGTTTCAAACCATCCCAAACCATGATAATACCCATCCATGAATATACAAACCCAACCTTCAAAACATCTCTTATCCCGCCCCTCCCTTCATATAACAAAACTATAATTATTCTATACCAGCTAAAAAAGTCGACCTACTCAACGTAGAATTTTTGAACCAGACTAAGAGCATTCCAGTGGGCCTCCCGAGATCCCCAATCAAAATTTGAGGCAAATCGGTCCAGGGGTTTCTAAGTTATGATCGGAAAAACAGACAGACAGACAGACAAACAGAGATTACAGCTATATATATATAAATACCCTTTCCCCATCTATGAATTCTCTATGTTTCGCTACTTAGCGATTTCCCTAAAGACCTAATATATGTACC